TTTTCTAGTTACCATTCTAAGGGATAAAAGATGTTGGATTAAGCACCAAAGTGACAACACCCATGAAATGAAAGTCTTCTGAACTATAGGAATGCTTTTCTTGGAAGGTGCACAAGGACACCAAGCTTTCAGAAAGACTCAAAAAAGAATTACACATTTACATGAATGACAAAAAACATCCCAGTTTCCTGAGATGAGAGAAAAGACTTCCAAGAGCTGCATGAGCTGCCTTGCTTCAAAGAATAAGCCAGTCAATAATTGAAGAATACTCAGCAAAATGTCTTATGGGAATCTTCTTCAGGAAAGCTGGCTATATAATGTTTTTTGATGCTTTATCTGAAATTCCTGGCATCAAAGACAGGCTAATTAATTAGTCAGACTTCTCCAGTGTTTCAGAGGAGCTATTCCTACTCTTTAAACAGTCACTCTTAACTGTTGTTTCATGCAGTGACCAAGCATAAATGTTTGATTGTTCTAGAACAGAATTTTCCTAACTTAAAAAAAATCCTCAACCCCCCTCTACACACACACACATGCATGCATATTTCTAGCTGCAGGCATATGCATCTGTGTGTCCATATTCTCATTTATCCAATCCATTCTTGCTGCTTACTGCCTTGTCTGAGGCACCCCAGAGGGTTTTAAAGCTCAATTATATCTCCATTCAGAATAAACTGTGAATTAAACAGGCCATTCCACCTGGTGCCTTGACATGTCATGAAGCAGAAAACTTCCTGATGATGCCTGAGGCATCGTTTAAGGAAAATCTCTTCTGGGAAGAGCCATGAACAAGAGGTGGGATGAATCAAAGTGAGCTCTTCAATTTCAGGTGCACAAGATCTCCAGGCAAGATCACTGGGTGGGCAGATCCAAAATGTCCCCACTGGCTAAGGATACAGCTTATATATTCTGAGAATAGCAAATCACATTTTGTGGTTTATAAAGGACAAGAATGTGGCTTCTTTCTGACAGCACAGTTTCAGAACACACAAGTGACAGCTCCTGATGCCAGCTATACTTACTATCAGTGGCTGGCTCCATGCAGAATCCCAGTAAAGCATGCAGGAAATCCACCACGTTATTGAGAGAATCCTTGTTCACATAATCTCTCACAGTCTGCCGGAATTGTGCCTTATCCAGTTTGTACAGCTTCGTGAGGCAGTTCTGGGCCTGAAACAGTGTCCATCAAATCATATCACATCCAAGTATGTGTTCAAGCTTTGCTAGCAAGGTTATTTTGTACTTAGCCAGTGCTCTGCTGTCTCTGATTGCTCCCATAACAAGAGAGGTTCACCTCTGGAGCCAAAAGAAATTCAGCCCAAAAGAGAGTGCACCAGTATGGGTGCCACTGTTTGAGGTGGTGACAAAGCCACTACCAGCTTATCTCAACTCCTCTTTTCCTCTGTCCAGCCCCAAAATAAAATCTTACTGGATGTAAATGAACTGGGAATGTACCACCTCTGTCAATGCTCAGTGGTGGAACAGGTTCTTAGCCTCAGGCATCTGATTTTCACCCTCCAGCTCAGACCCAACCTATTGAATGCACCTAATTATTGCATACCCAATGACCAATTTACATCACACAAAACACTATTAAAAACACTATTATATTAAAAGCTATTAATTGTCAACTTCTTATCACAAAACTATCCATCCTACTGGGACCCCATGCAGCCTGGAGTTAAAATAATCAAAAATATCATCTCTATAGGAAACATGAACTCTCCTGTTATCTACAATAGGGTGCTTAACTTTCCAGTAAACTCAGACATGATTGTCCACACAGTCAACACAAATGGTGCATGCAAAGCAGTTTGGCCAGACAAACACACAGAAAATATAGCAGACTCACACATTTAGTATAATATTTTCCTCAATTCAATGGTCATGATAAGAATCTTGGTTCCAGAAGGCATATTTATTTATACTTAATGTTATGCCTAGGTGTAAATGCTTTGCTGGCTCAGCTCCAAGAGAGAAGTCTGACTGACATTGTGATGAATATGGTACCTGTTCAACCAGTGCTCTGGGCAGAACCTTTCTGCTGTTACCACGGGAACCCTCTCACCTCATCTTGTCCAGTTGTGTCCACTCCTGCAGTACCTGGAAATCTATCTAACACAAGAACACTGCAAGGATACAGAGCAGCCAGTCCATCTCTGAGAAATCAGCCTCAGAGCCCAGAACCTAATTATAGCTCTGTTGGCATGGCTGAAGCTAACCAAAGCCATGGAGAAGGATCTGGTTCACTCACATCCCACGGGATTAGTAACTCTCATTATAGTCATGAAAAATGTTCCCTTCTGCAAGCACACAAGGTGAGGAGGAGGCATGCACTGAGAAGGCCTTTGAAAGGCTCCCATTTAACAGGGAGTTGGACTGATCTCAAAGAGACAAACTCTCCTGGATTAAATCTGATGTCTGGGCTGCATTCTGAGCACTTTCCAATGTCTTAACTGGTGCAGAACCAAAAATGTTAGGAATCAACAGTGATGACCCACCATGTCCTTCAAAGGGTCACGAGTGAGTCTTTCACTTCCTTGCAGAACAACAGAACAAGTACAGTGCAAACACAGTGCACTCCAACCATCAGGAGCTGATGGAGCAGCCCAGCAGCACTCAGTCATAAACACCATCAGGAAAGGTGGACACACTGACACCTCAGACTTTTGGATTTACATAGGCAACCCGAGATAGCTGCACCTCTTGCAAGTAGCACACTCTTTAGGGGGAACTGTCTTGTGAAAAGTTACTAACACCAGCTCACACATGGAATTTGCTCCCATGCATTGTGCCAGCCCATCTGCTGGGGTGGTCAGAAGCACCCTGGGCTCCAGGTGTGCTCTTGGAAAGCCCCAGGGACTGGAAGGCAATGCTACGGCTGAAAATCTGCTACGGCTGGGCTGCAACACCGTCTGTGAGCTGCGACAAAAAGCAACACATTTACTGTCAATACAGGGAAAGCTACAGAGGGGGCAGGCAGCAATCTCAGCAGCTGATGTCAAAAGTACAAGGGGGGGACACTTTAATGAGCTTTAATTCTCTTACATTCTCCCGGAATACCTGGTGTCTCAGGCGATCTCCAGAGAGCCCTCGGTGTCCCTCTCCACAACCATAAGCACAGCCCAAGGACTTCACAATTTTGATCAGCATTGTGAGTGCCAGCCTATGGGTGCTGACAGATGGGCCTTCATCCTGAGGGTCACAGAGGGAAAGACAGTGTGTAACCCTGGCACAGCCACTGGCATGCTGTCAGCATTTTACTTTTGACAAACTACCTTCCATTTCCCATCTCATACACTCCACTACTGAGTTGTTACTCTTGAAGTGTTTACTCCAATTATTTTTCAGGTTCAGAGGCCAACCCCCTCCCTTCCAGCTCCCATCAAAAATCATGCTATAAATGTGAAGTGCCTACATGCTACTATGCATACCATTCAGAACTTACTTCAAAAATTTATCCCTGAGAAACAGAGAGCTGGCTTGGCTGAGTAGAAATCCAAGCATCTTTTTAAAATGTCTTAGATATTATGCTACTATAAGTTGCAACTTCAGAGGTCAGCAATATAGCATCTCTTGTCCAGTTCTCATAGCAATAGTGAAAAATTTATGGCTTCTAGTAATCAAATAAAAGAAACTGTGCTCACACACACTGGGTTCCATTTTTTCTTTACAAGTTATGAATAATAAACCTGAAAAAAAAAATCATTGTGATTGAGCATTTCAAACACCTTGTCAAGATAATGAAAATGTCCATGCCAGGCTCAAAAACTCCATTTTTGGCAGCTGCTTCTCTGGAGTAGTTACAGTGCTTGAACTGCTAATCATGTTTCTTCAGCAGAACCTCAAGTGAGCATCAGAGCAAAACAGAAAGGCAATTGCATACATCAACCTTAACAGACATTAGAGCACATTTGGAATTGTGTAAGGAGACAAGCAAGACAAACCTTTTCTTCTTTTTTGTCATTCTTCTCATACGGCCCTCCTCCTCCTCCACCACCTCCATCACCTCCACCTCCGCCACCTCCACCTCCTCCACCACCTCCTTCTTCTTCTCCATCTCCAGCTCCACTAATTGGAGGTGGCCCAAATCCACAAGCCGAGCCAGAAGCAGCTCCTTTAAGCTGGAAGGATCCTTCACTTGGTCTCTTTTCAGGGGCCTCGTTTTCTTTGTTCTCACTCTTCCTCCGAGCTTTCTCCACGCAGGGCACCACGCCAAGCTGCAGTAAGCACTCCACGATGTTCAGTGCCACATCACAAATCCTGGAACTGATGTCGTGGTTCAGAACCAAGTAAACAGCCTTCAGGACCACCTGAGAGAGTCAAACATCACATTTAAAGCCAGAATTACTTTCTCTCCTAGTAATATTTAATGCCTGCAAATTCTAGATTCCAGAGACTTGTTACAGCAGGCACAGTACAAACTCTGAAGAAATACTACACAACCCTAAATACCAAAAGTCTACAATCTAGATCAGATGAGAAACCACAGGCTGGGCACAGTCAGGCTAAAAAGGAAACCATGAGATGACATTTGTGAGCCTGAGAACACTGCTTCAGTGCACCAAGAGCTGGCAAATCATTAAGGGGAAAGCAGAAGAAGTGAGGTTTAAGGTGCTATAAGAAAGGTGCTACTCAGTCTTATGGTATTTTATAGGGAATTTGGTGCATGCCCCAGGAAAACACAGCCATTATGTAATACCACTTAGGATTTGACGTGTGCATTCCACATGCACATGCACTCCTTGCAAGGAGTAATGGGAGTTGCAGTTTCTCAGAGGAGACTTTTAGGATATGCACAAATGTGTCTGACTGACCTTTACACACTGCTGAGAGAAGTCATATAAAGAGGTGGAAGAAAAGCCCATCCAAAACCCCTGATCTCAATGGTACAGCTATATTGACAGAAGAGGGGCCTGGCTTTCCTCCTTCCTCGCCAATTACCGAGAGATCCAGCATGCCATTCTTGTGGACAAAGCTGTTGGTTCCATCAATGTGATCCGTGTCCTCCAGGCAGCTGTAATTGATGCAGGAGTCCGTCAGGCTCCGTGGGAGGTTGGCACAGGCGAGTGGCTCGTGGGGCATCTCAGGGATGGGCACCTGGTTGCAAAGCTTCCTCATGTGCTCGCTGAAGAAATCGGCGTAGCCCACGTTGAACGAGGCCAGGGTAGTGTTGAAGGTGGCCACGGTGATGGTGGAGATCTGGGACCTCACTGCAGGCAGGAAAACAGATACCTGTGCATTTCTGTCTCCATACTCACGGAATGGAAGATTTGGGGCTGAGCTTGTCTAAAGGGAGCAGCTCTTAAAGTGGTTTGTAATGCCAAAAGAAATCACAGTTCCTAATTGCTTACCAGGCGTACAGGGATCAAAGGTAAACTCATTGCTTCTTTTGAGATAGTGTAAATTACAACAACCCCAAGCTTGTTCCAGCAGTTCAGTTCTCTGGCAGCTTAAACTGATCTCAGTTAAATGGGCAGTCAAGTAGATGAGGCAACTCAGACGTTCTAAATCTAATCCAAAAGGATTTTTCTCCTTGCATTAATCCAGTGCCTCATCTTAAAAGCATCAGTGCCCCTGCAGGGCAATGAGAAAGGACTCTGTAGCTGAAAGGCAGGGGTGAAGGTAGTGGAACCACAGCACAAATCTGAAACAGCTTTCCAAGTCACATCAATTTGGAACATTTCATCACACCAGCTGAAAAAACCAGTACCTGTCATAGTCTAAGGCATCTCCAGAATGCACAGCAGTCTGATGAGTGAGGTACTGCAGTCTTAAGCTCACAGTGTTCAGAGACAGGAACTTTGAATTGCTCAGGTTAGCAAGCTGGCTATAAGTGCAAATTTTTATCAAGGATGCCTCATGTTTTTAAAACTCATGCTGATTTCCAGGCCACAGTGTTAGTAATTTCCCACATATAGTGCTTTGTAAGCAGGTTTATATACCCTCTAGTGTAGAAAGACACTGGGTGTCCCATAGGGTTGTCATCTGCCAGACAGTACAGTAACAGGGCTAGAGAATAAAAAAGAACCTCTTCCTATGGCTATTAAATATATTCTAATTAATAAACTAATTACATCTAATGCATTTAATAAGCGATGGACTGGTTATATAATGCAAACAGCAACTCTCCAGAGTGGCAATCACATTTCCTGACAGCTTGTGCAGTCTGCTAGCACTGAACTGGCACTATTAATTAGGAGAAACATTATAAGGCCAACAGCAGTACTGTGAACTAGGCCACAATTTGGTTAATTCCCTAATCAGGAATTGATCAATTCAATTTGCCAGTTTGGTCAATCAATGCCCTGATCAGGACAGGAATTATCTGCTTGTATCAGAGAATTTCTTTCTGGCAAGTGTGACTTGTTAATGGCATTCACTGAAATTTTTATTGTGAATATAACAATAAAGATTGCATTAGGATATTTTGTTCCTGAGCTACAAAATTTGATGATTATCCAAGGGCAGATTTTTTTAGTTTCCCTGATTTTTTGCTTAGTTTGTTTCAAAATGGGTAACAAAAATCCATATCCAAATCCTACACAGAAACATAGAATAATTCAGGTTGGAAAAGACCTCTCAGATCATCAAGACCAACCATTTCCCTCTTCAAATCCAGTTTAAAGCTCTTTCAGTGAGCCTTGATAACTCCTGTGCAAAGAGCCTTTTCCCACTTCAGGTCAAGAGTAGTCTGGTGTCATGTAAAGCAACCCATGATCAAAACCCCCAAAATTCTGCCAGTATCATCAGGTGCAGAGCCAGGTGTTGATCTTCTGGCTCTTCCTATCTTCCCTCATCATTTCCTACCACTGGAAGGCTACAAGAGAACACTGTTTTTCCCCCTCTTACCTTAACTAGTCATCCCAAAACCCTTAAGTCTCTCTTAATCACCCCGGGACTTTTTTTATGCAATTTCATTGCTACCTACCAGAAAAATCAATAATGGATAACAGAAATCCATGTTCACATCGTGAAACCATTAAAGATAGCAACACCAAGTTTCTGTTCACACTTTTCTGTTGTAAGGCAAGAAAATCCCAAACCATGGTCATGGCCACCAATTTAAGAATTAATTAAAAAAAAATAATTTTTAACAATTTTAACAATTTAACGATTTAATTTTTAAGAACTGCACCAGATAAACATGAGCAGTTTGAAACATTTTTCTTCATAGTACAAAAATCCCCCTCAAGAGACGTGGAAACAAAAACCAAAAAATCAGTTAGTCGCGCACTCACACATAGAAACAGTAACACTTCCTTCCAGTTTTTGGGGTTGGTTTTTCAGTGAAGCATCTGTCCTGATGTTTTAGATTTTACCTTCTTTGACTGTGTTGTCTCCATGGCTGTTTGAGGGGTCTGGCAGCTCCGAGACCAGCGTGTGATGGGAGTGCGAGTGCCGGGCGCTCAGCCCCTCCATCTCCGTGGCTGTGTCAGAGCTTCCCCTCCTGGTAAACTTTCCTAGGGCAACCACAAGAAATGGATATTTTAGGTACCTTAAAAATTAAGGGATTGGAGTCTGGAAAAATCAAGGCTTCTCATCACACTGTGAAGAAAACCCAACGTTATGGTGGGATCCCCCATGTAGGTTCATGGACAAACTCTCTGCAAGGCTCTTCCCCTCAGCACACGCTGATTTAGCTGACACCCACATTTCTTAGCCACCAGCACCTTAAAGAAAATAAGACTGGCCAGCACTGCATGACTGCACCCTTTGGGGCATGCTGTAGGAATTTAGTTTCTTCTCCTCTTGACCCCAAAAAATAAGTATATTAGGATGAGGAGTGGTAAGACAAAGGAAATTCTTCGAGAATACAAAAAAATTCTGTTTACTGAACTTAGAAACTTGAAGTAGACAATTTTCAGGTTCAAACACTGCACCTCTGCAATATCAAGACAGTATAAGCCTCACTGAGAAAATATCCTATTTATATTGTATGCAATATGCACTCCAGGAAAACTGTGAATAGAACTTTTTGGCGTACTAATAACATTGTTAATGATACTGATGACACTGCTGCTAATAATTGTCATACCAACAATACCAATGCTGCCTCCCCGAAGATTTCTCTTTTAAAGAAGGGAAGGCAAACACTCTTTGAATCTATTTGAAGCTGCACTTGTGCAATGCCTGCTACCACACAGAGAAGTGTATTCAAGTGGAACACAGATCACTGCAGGTTCCCAGCATAGCTATTATTGCAGTAAAGATGGCAGTTTTCAGAGAAAAAGTGATTCAAGGTCCACAGTGAGCAGTTACCAACAGGTGTATAATGCTGCAAACAGAAGCAAGGACACAGGGTGACAAAAGGACTGGATGAAGAAACCACCCCTGCTGTTGTCTGAGTGCTCAGGACAGGAATGGCACGGAGCCCGGGGCAGAGACAGCAATATCTCACCCAGAATGGTGGTCTGCCATCCTCCTCTCTCCATGCCACGCCGGTCCTCCCCAATCCCAGAGAAGCTGCCGAAGGAGAAGGTGCTGCGGGTGGGTGAGACATCCAAGTGGTCCTCGTGGAGGAGGAAGGGCACCCCCATCCTCCTCTGCCTCTTCTTCCCAGCGTGGTGGAACGGGATGGAGCCTTTGCGCTCACGCTCCCTGTCCTCCTTGCGGCTCTTGAACTGCAGGAAGAGGAGCAGACACAGGAGCAGTTAAGAAGCTCTGAGGGCATGGAAAACTGTGGGAAATAGAAAAGGTACAGAACTCTCAGAAAGCTGTGGGAAAGCAAAGCTCAGGATGGAGAAATGGAAGAATGCTGAAAATGCAAGGGCAAGAAACAAGGCTATGAGCTAGAGATAGGCTTCAGGAAAATATGTTAAGCAAGATAGGAGAAATATGTAAGCTTAATAATGAACTTTTATCCATTGTTTCAAGCTATTACAAACAAGCACTGTTCAAAGCAAGATGTACATGTGACTTTATTAATTGGCCTGAGCAAACACTTGTCAGCTTTTAATATGATGCTATTGGCTAGAAAGTTGTTGAAAGACTTTGTTACAAAGAGAATTTTGTCTGCTGTGCCAGCAGCTGAAGCTGTTCCATCTCACTTGCTTGGCTCTGTAAAATGAGACTGATGATTGTGAACAAAGCTTCAAGTCAGCAGCTCCAGCATTCCCATCCCATTGTTTGTGTACATAGATATATGCAAATATCAGGTAAGAGGAAAAATATCCCAGAAAAGCCCAACAGAAAACAACCACTTGAGGGAAAAAAGGTAACACAGATATATTTCCCAAGTATAACTCTCCACTCTGATTGTTTTATCTTGGCCATTTCCCATGGCAGAATCTAAACTGCATGCTGGGATCCTGTGAGCATTTGAAGGATTTCAGTCTTGCCCTAGGCTGGGATGGATGCCCTTGGATGATTTTATGACATTCTTTGACCTTGAGCATGGAATGGATGGTTGGAAACCCAGAGCTAAGACGAGGTAAAAAAATCAGAACTCACTGAATTAGCTGGAACTACAGTGAGCACTGGCACTCAAAATTCAGCACTATTTGAGTGACCTCTTCTCATGCATTTTCATCATGACAATTACTTGAATAAAGACTTGAATTCAGTATTATGTTCAGGATGTGATAAAAACCAATGGAATAGCATACAAAATCAATCCCAATTAAAAAGGATGATAATCTCACATGAATATATAGTCCAAGCAGACCTTCAGAAGCCACTTAGGAATACATTGAGGTGCTGAATCATAGGTAAATTAAAGTGCAGTTTTCTTTCACTCACCTTTTTGAAGATGTTCATCCCCAGGTCTGTGGAGAGATCTGGAACTGCTGGTCTACGCAAGTTGGTCAGTGAAACCTTGGAAAATGTCTCTGTGCTTAGTGACTTTTCTTCCTCATTACATTTTATTGTAAGATCCTGCAGCTCCCAAAAGAAGACAAGCACAAGGAGAAACAGAGGATAATCAGCTTTAAAAAAGGAGCTACTTCCTAGAGCTGTCAAAGGAGTACTGTAAAGGGAAAAGAACTCCAAATCATTACACAAAAAAAAATTTACACATTTAAAGAAAAATAAATGAATAAACAAAATTTAGAAACTTCCAGAATTATTTACTTTGTCTAACCTTTCAGTCACCAAAGGGAAAAAGTACAGCAGACTATGGAAAGCCTCAGGCATTGCTGTCAGCCTGGCTGACATGTTTGATCCTGATCCCAGGTATGACTCTAAGTAACTGCTGATGTCTTTGGGGTCTTGGTTTACATTGATGAGCAACCATAATGTCTACCCTTTGTAAAGTGTTTCATTTAAAATCTATGCCCTTAATAACATATACTTTTAAATATGTATTTTGGAACTAAACTGCAATAAGAGCATCACTGTCCCTTCAAGAAACTTAATTTTCAGAAAATTTATTTACTCACCAAATAAATCTAAGAGTTCTAAATCAGTACACATCCTTTGCCTGTAATAACAGGGCTCCCCATCCACCATGTTTCATACAAAACTTCCCCCTTTCCTATACCACACAATGTCCCACAACAGCAAAAACCATGAGGCTCACTCACCCCAGCTTCAGCAGAGCTCACTCAGCTCACCTGTGCATTAACCAACACACCCTGTACTTGCCTGCTGCAAAAAAGGAAATTGGCACAAACTCAGCTTCCAGCCATCTGCTCTCAATACAGATCTATTGCCAATCTTCCACGAGATGTTTGTGCAGCTGACCTGACCAAATTCCCTCAGGGTAATTTTCTTCTGCCTAAATATCAGCCTGTTTCCAATGGATTCCTCTTTTTCTTTGCTGTCCCACCAGAAATACTCTGCTGGAAAAGTGGGTCATGTTCAAACACCTTTCTGCTTCCAGTGCAGAGACAGCTATATGCCAGGGATATATGAAGTGACCTCTATGACAGGTTTGGATTCTGCCTAGCCAGACTGCAAATGGCAGAGCCAGCCAGCCTCTGCAGCACACAAGTGTGCAGTTTTATGCACAAAATGTCCAGCAGAACCCCGTGACAGTCTTTGCAGCTGAAGTCTAACACCAGTTAGTGTTTGCAATACCAAATACTGGGCATCACACATTTTTCAGACACTTTTCAGACTAATCAAAGACCACCCTTGAATCCTCCCTCTTAATTTGATCAGCACAAGAATGTAGGAGACACACAGCAGCAAGGCTCCTGTTCACCACTGTTTGTAGTACAGGTATGCTTATCTACCCCTTCACATATATGACTAAAGATTCAGAAGAGGAGTCACATATAAAATCCAATACACAGTAAATCAGGATTCAACCCTAGCTACTCTCAACAGTGAGGCCAGCAGCTACTCCAAATAGCTTTTGTCTTAGCTTTTATAGCTCTCTGGCCTCTTCTGGCTATAAAAGATTTAATGAATTTATTTTTGATTAAGTATCTTTGTCCATTGGTTTCTAAATCAGTGTTTTAGTAGGTGGTTTATGATCACCAAAGGACAGAGTAGGGCCTACAGAGACACAAGCCATGCAAACAGACAGACAGTCCCAGCTTTGAAATTTGTTCAGGAACAACACCAGAGAAGCAATTACACAATTACCTTAAATCTACAATGTGGTATATGATGCATTTTAATGAATCAATCCTGTCAAATAGTGATTAAAAACATGGCTATTGTATGCAGTGGACTATGTGGCAATTACAATAAGCTTGAAAGGACAGCAAAATAGTTTAGGTTTAGGGGCTGCTCCTCTAGATTTTGTTTTCTTTTGTCTTCCTCCTTCATGACTGTATGTGTGCCAGCTCGTTAGTGCTCCTCTCAGCTCTCAGGATCTCACACTTGAGACTCTTGGCTTTCCATCAGCACTGCAGTGAGCACTACAGCTGCACTGGTGCTGTGATTAAATTTTTTCTCTTCTCTCTGCAAAGGAAGTGCAAGACTGGAGCAGCCTGTGAATGTCTGAAGGTTCCATGTCCTACACCTGCCCTGACAGGGAATTCACTGCACACAAGTGTCATACAGCTTTCCTTTATCACTTTTCAAAGGCAGACAGTATTCATTTTATTCACACTCCATCCATCCCCCCTTTCCCCATGCAACAAGAAGTGCCAGAATGCTGCACTGAAGCTTTTCTTACTTTGCTATTCAGCTTACTAGGCAACACATGGAGGATATCCCTCATGTCCTCTCAATCCCCATTGTTTCAGCCCAAGCTTATATCTGAGATGTGATTTTACACACACAGACCCAACAGGAAGTGTGAGAGTTTTGCTGAAACTCAGAGAGGTTCAGGATCATCAGCTGACCAATTACCCTGATAAACTGCAGAACAACAGAAACAATGTTGATGTGCCACAAAAATCTACTGCTCCTTGGCATGATTTGCAGGCAGATGTGTTTTTCTTTACTCAGTTTTTTCCTGCCACTTTATCCTGCTGAAGCACAGCATGACAGTGTTTTTGAGAAGTTACTAATCAACCTTCGAGTAGAAATGATGACACTTGTGTTAGGAATTGCAGATCTAGACTGAAAAAACTGGCTTTAAGCATAACCCTGTGTCAGATGAGCCTGTGAAGGCTCAGCATGCAATCCCCTGTGTTAACAGAGGGGACAAATCCCAGCCTTTGGGAGGTGGCATTCTCTGAATGAGCAGAGAGCCTTGTCTGATGAGACTGAATGTAAGAATAGCAGTAAAGTTCCTCCAGTTGGCTGGGATGAACCAGAGCCCAGCTGCTTCTGTGTGCTGCATGGGTTTCAGTCCTCAAAGCTGCAAAGAAGGGGGACATGAGTTGAGAGTTTTGCTGCCTGGAAGACCATTTCACTGCCTCCATCACAGCTGTTCTGCCTAACAAACTGCAAACCCTGGGACAGGATTCTATTTTGGTGAAGCATGGCAAAAATACACTGGACTGACACAGAGCTTACCAAAAGCAGTCAAACCCAGCCTTGGAGAGAAGCATGCCCTGGGCATTGTCCTCACACTAACAGCTACAGTGGGCCCAGTGGAATTGCCAAATGGATTGAACAGGAAAATATTAGAGAAGAGCAATGGGCCCTTCTGCAAGGGAAATGGCCTAGAAAAACAAGACATATCCAAGTGTGTGAAAGGAAGGGTTTTACAGAACCAGGGTAACACTGGTGTAGCCAGTGCCTGTGGAAGAATCTCATTCACACTGCCTCTGTAAAGCACTGACTGCACTCCTTGTTGCACTGAGGGCTAAACTTGCTAACATGCAAACCAACCAGGCTGCTATGAGCAAAAGCAAAGGGTCAGTACATGCATGGAAACAGTGAAACACATCGATTTTTCCTCCAGGAGATGATATTAATTAGGGTTTTTTTGTACACACAGAGCAATCCTATAAAATCTTCATGCACAGGTAGATTAAGATTGACTAGTAATTCTCATCACCTGGCCTTAATGGAGCTATGTCAAGCTTTTGCAGGGAACAAACATATAAATTATACTGAAGTATAATACAATTTAAACAATACTGCTGCTGCTGAGCCCTTAGAACCACAAGTAACCACCAGCTCTCATAATAATGGTAAGAATGTCTACAAAGTCCTGAGATCTAAAACTAAACAGTAGTAATATTGACAGTTTATGCTTGTCTTCTAGATTTTGAGCATCTGGAGTCCAATGGAGAAAAGATATTTCACCTTCCTTCCAGTCAAAATCTGTCACAGACCTAAAAGCAGCAATTTTATGAAAAAACACCAAGAATTATGAGATTTCCCACTCAAAAAAAGACATTTGATAGCAAAATGAACAGGTCTTTTATTTGAGTGTGTCATAAAATCGGATGGCAAAAATAGAATCTCTGCTACATTTTGTTAGGCAGTTCCATCAACTAAGTAAATCAGCATTTACTGCTAAAAGCCCACATGACAGGAGAAAAGGACACAACCTAAAAGTAGCACAAATCCACAAGGAGATTAACTGAAACTGCAACAACATTCCCTTTTTATCCCTGGAACAGGTGAGCAACACAAAGTAAAAAAATATTTAAGCTCAAACACAAAGATCTTTACTGCACCAAAGTCAGGAGCACAGGGATCATTGTCCAGCAAGACTTGACACCTATTAGGACAGTTTCTCTACTATGATTTTTTTTTTGGCAAATATAAAAGTTATGCAACAAGAATAACAGCAGAAGAAGTAACAACATAGAGAGCTTTTGCTCACTGCCACGGTTTGCCCAGTCTAATTCAGTACTTTAACACAAGTATTTGTCTGAAGTGTGCAGTTCCTCTTCTCTCCAGAGAAACACCAGAGAAGCTCAGTGGGTCCTGACCATTATGTGGTAACACAAAGGCATTGGTCACCATTTCTTGTGACAACTGCATTAGTACCCTCTCACGTCAAAAACTAATGTTACCAACCTAGATTAATTATTCCAAATCAACACTCCAGCTGTCAGCAGTCACCAGCTCTGACCCTCTGCATCAGATTCTGCCTTCAAAACTCATCATTCTCAGGGTCTCTTTCTGAATCAATGCAAGAGTCTGAGCTCTGTGCAAGGGAGCCAACGCCAAAGCTGTCCCCATCACTGCTTGCTCAGCAATCCCTCCACAGCATCACCACAACTGTGGGAATGTTTTCAGAGGAAAATGGACATGGAGTGAACGAGCCAGGAAAGGGATAGGAATGCTTTCATGAGCCTGAGCTAGGCCTGCAGCTTTGCCCTTGAAGTCACCTTGAAAGAGAGAGAAGAACAAGAAATCAAGGGGTGAGAAAAGAAGAGCTGAAGGTGACAGGTGAATGCCAAGAAACTCTGAAGCCAATGAAAAATAGAAAAGCCCACGTTTGCCTCATGCAAGAAGGCTTCCACCAATGATAAATTGTGTGATGGTGTGTAGGGGTAGAGAAATTGTATGTCAGGGTTAGAAGAGAGCAATAAAGTGGCATTTGCTTGATTCATATTGAAGCATGCAGGGTAAGAGCCCAAATGAGGGATGCAGGGCTCCAGGAGGCTCCCCAAAATGCTGTTTGTTGTATCCAGATGATACAGCAATTTACAGGTCATGGGTGACAAGAGCCCAGCCCACAGCCTGTCAGCCACAGCTGCGGGTTCGTCTCAAGCATCTCTAGTTCTGGTTACAATGCATTATATAATTTTCATTACAGAGCATCTTAAAATGTGACAACCAATCAATACTTTTACTATTACCTATAGCCTATCATAACTACTAACAGTACCATATTCATGTTACTATTTGCCAATCACAAAAAATTAGTGTGTTACAGTTTAAGCTAGAAGTTGTTTTTCAGTTTTCTCACAGTGGAAAATTTTGAGACCTTTCTTTTTACTTGCAACACAGCATTTCTGTTTGCCTATGAAAATCTTTTTGCTTGGTAAAAACATTTTTTGTTTGAAGTGGATTTATCTTTTGTTCTGAGTCATAAAAACCCCTTCCAACTCATTTTACCCTTTGGCTTCTTAGTTACCTACTAAGACTGGCTCAGCAGTTCTATATCAATACTTGCTATCATTTCTCTTCCTTCTTCAGATTCTACATTCAAAAATCTTCCTGTTATGTGTGTCTGTATGTTAGGGGATTAACCCTTTGAGGGGTGGCAATAAGACACACAGCAACATGGTCTCTCCCAAGATAGGAAAGAGACAATTTATTGTAACACTACGCTCCTTAAATACACTCAGGACACTAACTCATGACAAAGCACTAGATTATTGGTCCAGAGAAAGCAACACCTCTTTCCCAGGCTTTTCTCACTTATCCAGCAGGTGTTTAACTTTGTTTTCAATTCTTCTCTTATGTTTCCATTAGAGAAAAACGGCTAGCTTGGGAAAAAACCCTAGCTGAGCCTGAGAAAGCTGGACTGGAAAAATCCTCACAGGAGGTTTTTCTGGGCCTGACAGCCACAGTTATGCATACATATCTGTGAGATCTTCCTGCCAAACCCTTCTCTTTCCCAACAGTGCAGTGTCCATTTACCTTCCTCCTGACGGCTTACCTGGGTTTTGTGGGTGTTCACCAGCGAGGGTGCAGCCGCCACCATGGAGCTGCTGCGAGGCCTTGGCAAAGGGGTGATCTCAGGCTCGGGGGGCTTCTCTGGCTTTTCCTGCAGCATCTGCCTCAGCCTCTGCAGGTAGTACATGAGTGACCACTGCGTGCCCTCCTCGGACCAGTGTGGCTGCAGCAGGCAGCGCAGCACGGCCACGTCGAAGTACGTGGCGTAGCGGGACTTCTGGCATGGTGGAATCACCAAGGACACCCTGTTCCAAAAAAAAAAAAAAAAGCCAGCAGAGGGTGGAAATGTTAGTCATCACATCCCTCAGGCCTTCTTAGGTACTCTGCATAAAGAGCTGACTCTTTGGGACTTGTTGGATAGCAGAAACTTGGGGGGGTTTTTTGAGTTTTCTGTGCTTTCTCCCCCAGGAGAAGCCTTTGGAGAAGGTTTTCAAATTTGAGCGATGGAGTTAGAGTCATGGGTGTGTGGTAAACAGAAGTGTGTGGTTTCACATGGTGGAGGGTTTTAAATTTGAGGTTTTTATAATGTAGTAACAGGTATAGGAAAAGAGAAATTTGGGTGGTGTCTCCTTTCTGTGTTCTTCCTCCTTCTTGTTCATGGTTTCAGGCAGTAGCTTGTGCTTGGGCAGTCAGTGTCACACTGAGGGTCACAGGAATTTGGCTATTGGGTTAAAAGTATAAATAATATAGGTATTAATTCTCTGTTATACTGTTTAGCTTTAAGAGACCTTGGAGCAGCTGGATCTCACTCCATTTTGTTCCCTTCTAGCAGGTGGTTAGGAGTGTTGCAGAACTCTCTGTACTTTAGATGAAATTTAATAAACGACCAAGCCCAAACATGAGAAAATTCATCTCCTTCGTGTTTTTTAATCCTGGCTCTGAGTGAAGACAGAAGAAACTTCAGACAAGCCACTAATTAAGTGGTGCAAAATACCTCCCATTACAGGGACTAAGGTACCTAACTGAGAAAAGCATTATTGAAGACACATAACTGGATACTTAACTTTTTTCAGATCCCCAGAGGACTCCAGTACATGCTGTTAAGTGTTTTCTTGGATAGGGGTGCTTTCTTAAACTGTGATATGAAGATAAGCCGCCAGTACCTGTGCTAACTGAATAATTTGTTCAGCAGGAAACAGACAAGCCTTGAGCATCTGCTGTTCTGATACTAGTAATACATATTTAGGAATGGTTTACATTTGCACATATCAGGCTTTACTTAAGAAAAAGCAGGCAAGGCAGCTAAGTTAGTTAACCTTTTAAGCTAATTAGATTGATTCCAATATAAATAAAAGATACAGTTATGAGCATTCTTTGAAGAAGTGTTCTAGAGAAAAGAACCCTTTTAAGCCCTCACTGTCATTTTCTTGCCCTATTAATTTCCCGATGGATTTTAATATGGAATCTCCTAAATATTGTAGAAATTAGTGCATACAAAAGCAAGACATCTGTAGTGAGCTTCAGAAATGAGAATCTAGAAAGCTCAGATTTCAAAGGCATCTATATGTCATGCATAGCCAATCTTTTTGCAATAAGATGCCCCAAACCTTTTATTCCTAATCTTCTATACCACTTTCCTCCCATCAGAGTACAACTGGCCTGATCTACCCTCTGGACAGACACCAGCTGTCAGGAGACAGTCTGTCAGAAAAGAAGAAAGTGAAAGGGAGTCACAGGAATGAGAATCACATGGTAAGAGGAGGTGTGAAATCCTGGGGGAAGTGCAGGAACTCTGGAAATCTTTTTTTTTCTTTTTTTTTGTCTGCTGAATACACATTTTGAATGTTTCCACTCTATATTAGAAACACATCTCTGTGATCTGCTCATTTCTGGGATTCTATAAAAATTAAGAGTACTTTCATGCACTGTATTCTCAGGCATTTGAGAATCATCACAAGAACATCAAGTTGGTGTTTTGCTTTTTGTTAAAAGCCATTTTGATTATCAACCCTGCAAGACAGCACGTGCAAACAGTGTGGACAGGTCATCCCCATCTCCAGCTAGGTACCACCACGTTCTGAACAGATGGGTCCAAGGCCATAGTCCAGAAAAGCCTTAGGGAACAGCAGCAATACTGACCGGTGGTGGGGGAAATAGAAAAGGTATAAAGCTCTCAGAAAGCCATGTGGAAGCAAATCTCAGGATGGAGAAATGCAAGAATGCTGAAGATGCAAGGACAAGAAACAATAGGGCTGTGAGCTGTGTCGAGACAGGCCTAAGGAAAATGTGTTAAGCAAGACAGGAGAAATATGTAAGCTTAATAATGAACTTTTATCCATTGTTTCAAGCTATTACAAACAAGCATTGTTCAAAGCAAGATGTACACGTGGCTTTATTAATTGGCCTGAGCAAACACTTGTCAGCTTTTAATATGATGCTATTGGCTAGAAAGGTGTTAAAAGACTTTGTTACAAAGAGAACTTTGTCTGCTGTGCCAGCAGCTGAAGCTGTTCCATCTCCCTTGCTTGGCTCTGTAAAATGAGGCTGATGATTGTGATGGAATAAAGCTTTGAGACACCTGCTCCAGCATTCCCATCCCATTGTTTGTGTACATAGATATATGTAAATAAAAGAAAAAGAAAAAATATCCCAGGAAAGCCAACACAGCGGGACCCCTGAGTGCTGAAGTGACGTGCATGTGCTAAGTGCTTTGCTGGATCCTTGCCCTGTGCCTCCAACAGTCATGGAACTGGCAAAGGAGAAGAAGTTGAACACTGAACACTGGCACCAACTGGAATCATGAACCCTGCTCCATCTTATGAGCAGGTGTCAAGGCTGGGCTTGGATCAGCACATGGATCTGGAGCTCAAACTTGCAGGAGCTGGTTTGCAGCCAGCCCCACAAGCCAATGCTGGAGGCACTTGGCCACTGCAGCCCAGCCTGTGTCAGCATATGCCACACTGTACAAAACACACAGATTCAAAGTTTCTCCCCTAGTGCTGCATTCCAGGTAAAAAGGCTGCAAGTTTGACAACTTCGAAATGAGCTGTCACAAAAAACCTGAAAAACTGAATTAGGAAAGAAAACAGTGTGAAATGGGAATATGCTGTAACATTTTCCCCACAGACCTAATGTGAAGCGTGCTCTTGTCAAAGTTTAGGTTGTGTCACATAGACTTAGCCTGCAAAAACCCAGAAGTATACTCAAAGTATCCCAGCAGAGGAAATTAAAGCCAGTATCAATTGAGAAAGGTGATGCTCAGAACCCTGAGCAGTGTATGGGGCTGGGGAGTTTTTCATGCTCCCCTACCTGTGGCACAGGCATGACACAGGCTGGAGCAAGGCATGTTCTCCTTATGAAATATTTGTAACCAAAGTCCTTCCTGCAAAGGAAGTTTCCTGTTTCCCAGGCAGCCTGTTCAAGGCAGCAGCTGGGTAAAGGGCTGTGGTTTATTTGCTTCAGGATTAAACTGTGTCTTGTCTATGTGGAGAACTACACTGAGGGAAGGAGTGACACTTAGCAAGGATCAGAACAAGCTATTTGTTTAAACAGCTTCTGAAGAACCAGAAATTAAACTCTGTAGTTCATTTAGAGGAAAATCCAGTGCTTGTATAATCAGCTCGTGGTTGCCTGTGACTGCAGGGCAAGTGGAAATGCAGCCTCCCTTCAACCCCTGCCCAAGGACAAAGGGATACTTTGGCTGGTGGTAAGCAGAGTAAACAACACTTTTTCCACAGTTATCTGTTGCTTGGCAACCAAAGGTCCCCCGTACAGTTTTAACTCATCAATGAGTTCTGCAAATGAGGAGGCATAATGATGTTCTCCCTCTTCAAAGCCTGTCTGAAGCTTCATCCCCATGGCAACCACCAGACCCTGCTTGATAAATTGATCACCTGATTCTGTCTTCTTAAAAGGCTGCTTATTTTTATTACAGCTGTGCACTCTGAGCAGTAGTGTTCACACACAGAAAGGCAGCTCTGTCCCCACCTTCAATTTTGCTGGCTCACATTAACACAAATTAAATACAGATCCAGAACTGACAACAGGCTTGATTAAAAAGCCCAAGGGAAGCTTCCTGATGGGATGAGAGCCTTAACAAAGAGTTTTTTTCCTTTGCATCAGCGAAAGGATGCCCTGAGCTCCCATTTGAGAGATCAGAGCTGTTCCGAGCTGATATCAAGAAAATCACTCCATCCTATACTTCTGTCACTGTAATGAAGCCATTTCCTAAAACTGCAGTGTTTTGGATATGACATTTCTCAAAAGAGAAAAGCAACAGGTGTTTCACGTGTTTAAGTGGCACTCCTAAATCCATAGGCACTTAAAATGATAAAATTATAGCCTTCCCTCTCCAAAATCTCTGAAAATACTCGTCAGCTTGATTTATTTTATGGCCCTAATGAGTGTCCAGCACCACTGAAAATCTAGTTCTACCTGAATTTATTAGTGCCAAGTTGGAAATCACAGCCTGAGCTCTACAGGACAAGCTGGAAGCACATCTGCACAGCTGTGCTGCTTTGTTAGTCTGCTTTTTTGGGTCAGTGGTCTAAAGCCAGCTGTCCAGCAGGATGCAAAGGAGGCACAATGAAGGCAATGGAGAGAGGCTTGCAGAAATTCTTTGCTAGGGGGAAAGAAAATCTGGTCAGAAGGAAGCCAGATAATACACCAGCTACCTGAAGCTGAATCCAGCCTAGAAGGGGTGAACCTGAAGGTTGTTTTTTGAGCCTTTAATTACAAGAAACAAACAAACAAAAAAAAAACAACAAAAAAAAACAGAAAGAAACTGTCCCAATAGGCAGCTAGAGATTTCTCTGAAGAAAGCAGCACTGAGTAACAAGTTCTGCCACCTTTATCATCACCCAGAACTGAGATTTGTTGAATTAAGAATTGGATACAAACATCCAGCACCCTCAGCACGTCCAGACAGAAGTGGATACCACTGAATCACATCAGCCCAAGTTTCTCCTGAAGGGCTTTGTACCTGGGATGTGCAGTACTTCTCTCCTGGGAGGTTTGGGAGGATACACTTCCATCCAAGGAGTTTCCAGGATGACATGCAGAAACAGAAGCCTTTGGAGGTACAGGATCTGGCTGTGTTGTCTCACAGACCACCTGCAGTCCCTTTGGATAGTTGTAAAAAAGAAAATAGGTATATAAACATATTCATCTCTCCCAGGTTAGTTTTATAAGTGCATTTGAGCTTAGACATGACCATTACTGATACCATAATATCATGGAAAATCTGATCAAACCTGGGGCTTTTCAGTACAAGGCATTGTCCAGGCAAAGGGCATATTGTACATTGCACAGGTCTCTTGCCCAGGAGAATGATTTGGGATGGAAGGGCCTTAAAATCAAGCTCCAACCCTCCTGCCATACACAAGATCAAGCTTCCATCCTATAAGACAGGATAAGGCCAAGGTGATCCAGGTGGATACACCCCATAGCCTTTGTTCCACTGCAAACAAGGTTGGGAGCCTTGGCTGTGAAGAGCTGTGAATAATTGTAATTTCTGCAGATGGAATGCTTTAGGGTGGCACAGAAAGCTCTCTTTCAATATTTATCCCCCCCCTCCCTCAGCACCTTCCTGAAGCTTGCCCAATGTCAGCTCAGGATTTACCTCAGTACGTCCACTGTCCAGGTTAGGGGATTCACAGGTCACACTCCGATTATTGGTGGGAGAACTTCTCTTGGCTGGGAAAAGAATTCAAGCAGGACATTTCAGGAAATGCCTCCTGCACTATAATGTACCTATTATAAAATGTTATAATAAAAGGATAAACCAAAAAAAAACAAAAAAAACAAACAGCATCTATCTGCTGCAAACTTCCTAAGCACTAGTCACAGCCATAAAAAGAAAAGAGGACAGGTTTAATCTTCTTTTTTCTTTGATTGTGTTGTCAACAGCACTGTCTACTGAAAATCTCTGCTTTTTAAAAATTAAATCTGAATATAAATTTCATCCTACATCCACTCATCATCAGTTGTGTTTTCCTGTGCAGAGCAGTGCCTTTTATTCTGGAATTCTTCATCCTATTTGTACATGTATTCAAGTCCTTTTCTAGGTTACATCTGTCAAAGTGTATTGTGATTTCCAATCTGCCAAATGCCTTCAGCACAGGAAATACACACAGGATGTTCCACAAAAAGTTGGATCTGTAATACTGCAGCAGACCAGGGGTATCACACAGACTAGGATGGCAAGTCTGGAAATCCTGTTGAAAGCTGTGCAGATATGACTTTGAATCAGACTAACTGCAAACCAAATATTGCAAAGCTTCTTTATTAGATTTTTTTTAATTTGTTGTTTGAAGGAAGATTTAAGTAAATTTGACTTTTTTTTTCCCCAGTTTGATAAAATGCTAAGACAGCAGCATCTTCCTAGACATAAAAGACCCCGTTTCAGTTAGTATTTCTGTCCGGTTGAAAAAACTTTCAAAATATAATGGAGCATTTTCCTTCCAGACTTTACTTCTGAAACTGTTTTTAGGGATTTTCTGACCACAGACAGGCCTATAGAAAAAAATCCAACAGTCAAAGAAAACTTAGGAGTAATTCCCTTTGTTAGTTCCAGGGCTGAAATACTGTATTTTAATTCTAGAAGTTGAAGTAGAGGGATGAAGAGCAAGATGTAAAAGACTGTTGTAAATAATTTGGAAGACCTGAATCTTTTTAATTCTGGACTTTCCCAGTAGGTCTACAAAGTCTTCAGAACAAAATATTACATCCCAAATGACCTCTTATCAGAAAAATCTAATTTAGTGAATTACATTTTCTCTATGGTGAAAATTACAGTTCTATGCTTTTGAGAACTGGAAGCAATGCTACAGCAGCATATCCCACTCACTTCCAATTCACTGCCTTGCAGGAATTATAAAAAAACCTATTGTCTAAAACATAACAGTAAAAGCTTTTTTAGGATTAGGCCAAACAAAAAGACTTGGAAGCCAAAGCACCCAACTCCAATCTCACTATGGCTGAAGCACAAAGGAAAAGCAACCAGTATCCAAAATGAATTTACAACCTAGGCCTTCACTGGACTGCCTTGAAACTATGTTTTCTCATTTCATAACATGCTGGAAATCAAATTTTAGATAGCAGAAGCACCACCTGTGTGCTCTTCACTGTCCATTTTTGTCCAGTGCCAGTTTGGGAAAGATTTCCTTGCTCATGTCAGGCTGCTGTGGGATACTGTCTTCACCCTTCTTAGCAACTAAGGAAGATAAGGCTAACAGAAATAATACCTCTACTGAAAAGTTATTAATTTCCGATTTCTAATGGTTCTCCCATCTCCTATTTAATTATTATGCAATTGATTCTGAGGGGAAATAACCTTAAACCACTCTAAAGTTCAACTAGTTCCTGCAGGATCAACAAATTCCTTCAATACAATGGCTACAGAATGCAAGGGCAGCATCAGGCAAACAAAGGGAAAGGTTCCCCAGATCTCAGGAGCTGCATCACCACAGCAAAGTCACAGACCTGTAATGATGTTCCTGATGGGCTTTACAAGAGCATTGAAGGCAGAAACTTCAGGCTGCCTGTGCTCCCACATGGGCTGCCAAATAACAAGGCCACTAGCCAAGCGGAATGTCAGGTCAGACTCCTGGAAAGAAGAACAGAATGTTGTTCCCAGTCTGTGAAGATTGACATTTCTCCAATGCACAGACCTTACAAGAAATAAGTGATACCATGTGCAACTGTCCAGTCAGTAAATGCCAACTCAAGGGCTACTGACAATATCCAGCAGGCTCTACACAGGTCAATTATGGCTAGTAAAAAATCATGGGGAAATTTCAGTCCAAAAGTATACAAAGGTCTTTTTCAAATAAAATATCTATTCTAGTCAATAAATCCTACTTTTCCCTGATCATTACGTTGTAACAGAAAAGGCCATTCCTGTCACAAACTATTCCTTTGAGTTCCACATAACCACTTTATGTTTAGTATCCAAGCTCAACTTCAGGATGTACCCTCTAAGACTTGAACTTCTTCCCCAAAAGAATAATAATATTAAATGTTAAACATTACTTAGAAATTGAGCAGACATGTAACAGATTCCTACGAAGCAGTGCTACACATTACTGTTGTTATCATTAGCATTGTTGGTACCTGAACTCTGTCAATACACACACACACTGGGTACTACTGACACTTGTGCTATTGCTGTTTTGCATATGCAAGCAGCTGAAATCATATAAATTAGTACACAAATAAATCCCAGCAGGATCAAGGTGCAGCTATGCACTTACTGACCTAATGCCAGATCCACATCAGGAGACACAAATGTCAGTATATCCCCAGCTACCCCCATATGGCAAACAAACACGGAAACAGCAGTTTTGGTGCCATAATTACAGGTGCACAGCACCTGTACTCACTGTCCTGTTGAGACAGCCCCATAGATGTCTTGGCAGTGGGAATGGATGATGCAGACAGAGCTAAAGGAATGGCAGGAACTGACTGCATGTAGCTCTCCAGCCCTTCTACTCCCTACCCTCTGTTAGTGCTCTCTCCTAATAATCAACTCATAAGCTTGGCTCAAACTAAGCTTGGTTTTAATTACTGTTTTTACTAATAGCAACTTGCAAGACTTTTAGACCTGGTGGCAGTGACGCTGCATTTTCACTTTGCACTGCTTGTGGTGATGTGCCAACACTTCTGCCTACAGCTATGCACTTAAAGAATTACATCCATCGCCAAAGCCTGGTTTAAAAACGTTTCTGCTCAATTCACAAATCCTCCCAGAAGTTAGGAATTCAATATTTTAGGTCTGTCTATGCAAATGTGTCATCTCCCTGTCTGATCAGGCAGTATTCTTCCCCTGAGACTTAAAAGACACTGAGAGGACAAAGCTCACTTAGTGAACCATTTACATGCCTCATTTAACTCCTCTCCTACACTTGGTTTTGATGACAGAAATGTGCATGTTTTAATTGGCTTTTCAATGTTCACCACCACAGTATTCCAGAGATCTCTGAGATCTTCGAGGTAAACTTGAGATGCTGTTATTAACCTCATCTTGAAAACAACATGCCAGAAACACTAATATAGAATATTAGAACTCCAATCTCTAATGACCAAGGTCAACTCCTAGTTTCATTCCATTTATTCAAAGGCAGCCTGCATTTTTTGTGCAGCACTGGGAAGAATTCAGTATTTCTTCCTGTCCTGTAGCCTACAGAAAACCAGTAAACAAGTATGAAAAATCTGGGCTAAATAAATTAAACACTACTGCACAAGAACTCAGTAGCAGCAGTAGAGAAAGAATCTAGTTCTCCAGTCTTGCTTTTACCTTCCTTAATTAAAAAATTATCCTTTATCTCCTGTTCCTTCCTACCTTCTTCAACTGTTGCAGCATAGAAGGCAGGATTAGAACAGACAGCCCCAGCACTTCATGACTTTATAGTCCTTTTTTAGTCCTTTTTTCAAGGACCTACTCTTTTTCCAGGCCTAGCTGGAAACATAAAGGCTAAATGGCAGCCTCCCAGAGGCAGGAGTCAGAGCATGAAGAAAATGTCTTTTCATCACATCACCCTGCAAAGCTGATGCACTCAGCACAAAATGAAGAGAGAAACACCAGCAGACAGGAGGCTGCAGCCTGCTTCACACTTCAGAACAAAAGAATGCTCCACTGCCTTTGCCACTGCCATGCTTGTAACCTGGTAATTAGCATCAAGATGATTAGCAATGACAACAACAAATCCCAGTGGCAGCCCCACGGTGGAACCCCTGAAAATCCAGCAAGGCTTTTCTGAGCAATGGCTGAGAATCACTGGAGCAAGTTAAAGCTCATAATCCTTTCTGCAGTTTTCAGGATCCCACAGACCTCACAGGGGCCACAGATCTTTGCCATTCCCAAAGGCTAAAAATGGCTCACTTTGTATTTTTTTGTCTTTGTGCCTGCCTGATGCTGTGGTGATTGTTCATGTCACTGGAAGGATTTCTTCCCAATGGCAGCAGTATTCTGCCAGCTTGGCAAAATACCTCCAGCAACACCCCAGTGTGCACTGTAAGCTGAATTAAATAACAATCACAAAGGCAGAATCACTCCATTGCTGCTCAGAGCTGTCTGCACACAAGAACCCCACCAGTGTACCACTTACCCTAATCCTGTGGACCAGGGGAGCAAAGAGGAACACAAACAGCTCTACTGTGGCCATGGAATTCTGGAAGAACTTCCTTCTGTTATTCTCCTCCTCATCAGTGATGGGGCTGGGCCGGGGGTGTCCTGGGGATCCTTGGTTTTCAGCCTGGTGGATAAAGGCACTGCTGCTCCCTCCCCAGCTGGAGCCTCTGTCTCCTCCAAATCTGTCATTGCTGCAGTCCTGGGGAGCCTCCAGCAGCATCCAGTGAAGAGTGTGAAGAAGCTTTGTTTCAGCTACTCCAAGCTTATCCTGATGCCCTGCACGGAAAAATGCATCACAGGATCTCACAGTGTGCCATTCTCACCATCAATGATGCTGTTGAGATTGTTTCACAGTTGCACTGCAGGTAAGCATCTGAAAATTAAAATTCTACAACCAAAAGCACCAGCATTCCGTCTCATTTTATTTGAAACCTCCAAAATCAGAAGCCTCCATTTATTTCCCAGCATTTAGAGTCCAGTCTCTGCAATGTCAGCTCAGGGCATGGACAGCAGCATGGACATGGAATGGTCCCAGAAGACACCAACTCAACAGTCTTGTCTGTTTGGCTTTGTTGAATAAGACAAAATGCCAGTGAGCACTGCAAGGTGCTCAAGCTGTGACTTGTTACAGTTCCCTATTGGCATGTCTCAGGAAGCAAATTCCTGCTGAAGTCACTGCTGAAATCAGTACAAAAGTAAGTAAAGTGAGTTGGGTTTGGATCTGCCTCTTTATTGTCTGTTTGACTATCTGCTGAGAGTCACATGCATTGATCTAAATAAAAAGAAAAATAGGAAGAAAACCCCTTAAAAACTGAAGATATCGAAAGTACCTGCAGCACAAGCCTTGAAAGAAATACATATTCCTTCAAGGAATCTATGCCTGCTGGGTGCTTGGGTAAGTTCTATTATTGCTGGGAAATAACTAGCAAAATATTATTGAACTACTGTGACTCTTTAGCTCATCAGACCACTAACTTCACTGGGAAAGATTTCACAGGTTACCCTTCTATCAATGAGACAGACAATCATCCAGAAAGGCAATCCCCAGAAGAAACTAATTAGGATTCCCAGGATTTAGAATTTGTTGGCACCCTGAGCATCAATCTGTCACATTTTAACTGGTAATAATGGAAAACAGCCCCACGTGAGCACTAACCCAGCTTGTTCCTGTTGGAGAGCAGCGTTGCAGTGCAGTGCAGCACATGAGGGAGGGCAGCCTGGACCAGCTCCCAGCGAGAAATGCTCTGGATGGCTTCAGAGAGAGCTGGAGAAAGGCCATGCAGCTTGTTTTCTACTAACACTCTTTCAAAAGACTGAAACAACAACAACAACAACAACAACAACAAAAAAGTCATCGTGTGTATTTCTGCACATTCCTTCCAGTACATGAACATCCTCTTTTTAAAACCTCTAATTGCACAACTGAAACAAATCTTCTAAAATTTGTCCTGAAAAATACAGACTGTAACTAAAGCTCAGCAGACGTGTGGACACGCTTGACTAAGAAATTAATGGAGCAGGCAATATCTTTTCTGCAATGTAAGAGAACTGAAGCTGGTACCATCTGTATATCAAGCCAGACTTGCAGCTGTGCTGGGCAAAGCCAGTAATCCTGACTTACAGATGTGCTGGGAGTGCCAGTGATCCTGTTAGAAGCCACAGGAGCTAGGAAAGCCTGAATTTGTGGAGCTGAGTGCTGGATATTCCTAAACACACATGCTCTTTGAGTTCAGTGTAATAAAAAGGGCAAACCACTAAAGGTATATGGGCCTTAGGAAATGTTTTCACACCCTGTCACAAAAAATCGTCGGTGTACAAAATTTTTTGTCGAGCTGTGATGTAATGGTTTTGTGAACATTTACAGAGCTGATGGCTGCAGCAAGTTCATTATTTCCACCTGAAGCAACACAAAATGAGGCTATCTGCTGCTGAAATCCCTAAGGAAGCTCCTTATTGTTAGCTGCCCCAACCCTTTCAATAAATGGCTGCCCTGATCAGATACAAAGATCTCATCATAGCTCACAAGAGCAGTTACATTCCTTCACTGAAGTACCCATAGCAAAGATAATGACAAGGCATGTCTTTGCCATAAACCAGCTTAGCCTCATGGCTACCTATTTGCTCACAAGCTGTTTCACCAATTTTATCAAGCTCTGGGCAAACAAGTAACTCTTGCCCAAGAGATGCTTCGAAGGTCCACATTCATAAAGCTTATCCTGCAACACTAGTCATATATTTTTTTTTCCTGTAAAATTGAGGGGGTGGTAATAAAATAGACTTAGTTCCAGAGAAGAGCAAAAGCAGCAGGTCAAAGCATGCTCTCCTGAATGAGCAACCACTCCCAAGCATGGCATGATAACCTGTGGCAACAGGCACTCTCCTCCTGCCTGTCCCAGCAGCTGGGCACACTTGTTCTCTCAGTTTGTGGCCCACTCTGCTGGTGTGGGCAGACATGAGCTCCTCTACCAAGAGGCTGGGTGTCCTGATGCAAGCCCAGTGCTGCACCACTGTAGTTTCACAGCATCCAGTTCTGCTCTGGTCAGCACAGAAACACACATCTATCCATTATCCATATCCATATGACTATGCCAACAGGCTGAACCCTGAAATACTGACAGCAACCATCAACAAATATCAGTGTGCAGAAGGTCACCCTGCCCAACTACTAGAAACACCAGTCAGAAAACATAATACACTTTCCTTATGGACTAATGGCTGAAACTGGAGGGTGTTTGCTTTAATACATGGAAAAAACACTGGCTTCTTGAGGAATAGTAAAAACTAATGTGCCATGCATCATGCTATCAGCAATATGTGTTCCTTAGCACCAGGAATGGATAACCTGTCTACCAAGGAAGGGATGCTTCAAGTAACCCTTACAGTCATCTCCTGGGGCCCACAGCATCTGAGAGGAAAAGAGTCTCCTGCCATTCAATCCTATCCGTTCAGGAATGGGGACAAAATGAAGGGATGCTGATGGCTTGAAAGCCCAGACACTACAGGGAGCAAAGTACCCATCCTAAGGCCTGGCTATTCTGTTCCAGCCAGGATTCACAGTAGGACACAGAGTGCATTAGTATAAAGACAAGAGAGGTTTAGAATAAGAGCCCAGTCAAGGGATTATTACAAAACAGAAAGGGGGAACAAAGCAGCAAAGTAGCCCTAGAAGAAGAACGAGAGGTGCTTTGTTACAAATACCACAAAGTTTGAAAGAGCCAGTGAAAAACATGAGGTTTTACTTATTTTTATCAAAAGAGGACAGGGACCACTCCTTAGTCATTGCTTCAGCAACACAATCCTATTTCCACTCATCCATCAGCTCTGGGGCTCATTGAATCCTTCATTCAACCAAGCCAAGTCTCTACACAAGCCAAAAGGAAGGTCAGTACAGAGGTAAGGAGTTCCTACCCATGCTAGTGAGCTGGATTAGCTCCCTGAAAGGCCAGAGCTCCCTGAAAGCACCACAGCTGACCAAGGCTTATTGAATTGAATGATCTCACCTCCAGCACAAAAGCCAAACCATGAGCTCACACTTTAGTAGAGTTGACAAAGCTGTTCAGTTTGCAGGGTAAGGAGAGGAAAAAAAAACCCTGGGAACACCAACCCTGTTCTGAAGTGTGACAGAAGGCACCTTGTTGCTCCCTGGCTTTCTAGTCAAGGTCTCATTCCCGGGTACTTCAATGGCATCAGGTAGAAAGTTCCTCAGCAATTCCCTTCTGCAAGCTCTGACCCAGTCTGCATGCAGAAACTCAAGAGTTTGCAATTATATCTTTAGATTAGGTTTGTATTTATCACAAGATTTTGGGCCGCTGAGCCCTTGTGAAGATTTCCCAGTGTGGTTAGCCACCAGATCCTTCTGTTCTTTCCAAGCCTGAGAAGAAACCTTAATATTTCTGTACTACAATGAAAGATTCCCTTCTGGAACAGCTTATGTGATCACAAGCATCTGAGACAGAAGTACTGTATGTTGCCAGAAAAACTCAAACACAAAAGGTTGAAATTGAAATCACTGCATTGAAAGCACTGAATGTCCAGCCTGCTACAGGCACTGCTGCTGTGGATGCACTAAATTGTACATCTAAATTGGCATGTAGAACTAAACTGGCACTAAGCCCCACCCTGGTAACTGCCACAAGCAAACCAACCAGGAACATGAAGTTCTTTGGACAGGTGCTCCTGTGGAATTCACTTTATGGAGTTCTCCATAAAAGTGCAGCTTCTGTCTGTTCCAGACACTCAAGATGCAAGGTCCTGTGCTGCTCCTGGAGAGCCTCTTATGGCTCTACTCTTCCAGGACCTGCTATAGGGAATATACAGACACTGGGGCAGAAGAGTTAATTCTCACCCTGCACGAACTAAACACAAACTGCTGCTACAGCTGAGAGGAGCTCCATGCTTAAATAAGAAGGCTGAATGAGAATGTCTGAAGAAGCTCCCTGTGAGTGAGTCAGAAGACAGCTACTGTCATGCTATGGGTATGTCTAGATCCACAGCTTGGCTAAGAGAATTTCCTACTTAGAGCAGGCTTGTTCATGCCCACAACAGCCCCCACGCACCAAAGGCAGATAAAGAACATCTGCCAAGGGGACAGTGGGGGCAGTCAGTGCCTTGGCTGGAGAAACAGCCCCTTTCAGCAGTGCTCTGTGTGTGTTCAGCTCCCTCAGGACCACTTACACAAGCATTTTTCCTTTTAGCCTAGTGGTGACAGCTGTTTTCACGGGGACTGGTGGCCAGCCTTGCCTGGCTGCCTTCCCACTGCTGCTCTTCTGCTTTTACCTTCATCTCCACCAAGAACCAAACACCTTATGACCAGGATCAGCCTGTGTGCCACAGCGTGCTCTGTCCTCTACTTCTTGCCTAGGCACCTTCAGGCTATCTGCTCCCATTTCAGCAGCATTCTGGCTGGGCTTGGTCATGGTTTCCTAAACAGCTTTGCTGGAGTTGTATGAACTTCCCTGCTCTAAGCCCAGGGAAGCTGTACCTGCAGTGAGTGAATTGCATGAGGCAGAGGGGGTGACAGAGGGTGCCCAGAGGTTCCCAGAGTTTGCCAGGGGTTCCCAGAGGTTACCTTGGGCATCTCAGCACCTCCTGTGACATCCTCTCAGGAGTGCCAAGGAATATCCCTACAGGATTGCCCAGTGCAGGTACAGGAGTGGCAGACACACACAGAGAAGGTCAGTGCTTCTTGAACTCAACTTGTGTCCTTGGAGGGGACCTTAACTCCCTGTCCTCCCAAAGCTCATTCTGCATCGTGGAAGAAAGCTGGGACACTGCTGAAGTCACTTCAGGCTGACTGGAAGGAGCTGGAAGTGCTGCCAGTCTGGGGCAGCTCCACTGAGCAAGGAGGAGCTCCCAGAAAGATCCAGGAACCCAGGAGTTCATAGCACAAGGGATGGTGAGCCTCCATTGTTGAATAAACAAAGCAATAGCACACAAAGTCACAAGTAATGAAACACAGATGCCAAACATTTTACTTACAGAAATTCAGTTTTCTGCAACCATGTCCATTGGTTGGATAAAAATAAAGGTGGCCCCTTTCTGAACTTGGTTCCATAGCTATACTTTCATTATCCATAATAACAAAATATGCAATTACATTTTCAAAAAAAAGTGAAACAATAACAACAAAAAAAACCAAAAAAACCCCCAAAACAACAACAAAACAACAACAAAACAAACAGACAAACACCAAACCGAAAACCAAACCTTCCCAAAAAATAAAAAACAGAGAAGAGAGAAACTTTGAATTTGCAGGATCCTCCAGAAAACATTTGAGTTCTTCCATGACCAACAGAAACCAGAGCAGAAAAATTTAAGCTTATCCTCGAGTTCCTAACTATCCCCCCAAAAATGTGTCAGCTTTGTCCAGCACTCACATGCCTTCCTGTGAGGTCATTTACAGCTTTGACTCATGCACATTGGATTGGCCTCGTGTCAGGGCAGAACAACTTCAGAATGGGGAGGAGAAAGAACATTAAATCCCTACTGAGACACAAACATGTTTAGATGTTGCAAGACAATGTATGGGGGAGGGTATTTATCTTCAGGCTGTTATTCATAGACCAACTGAAGTAAAGAGACTCAGGTAAAGAGAAAAATGCAATGAAAGGACCAGTCCTTACCTCAAGGACTTTGGTATAAAGCAAAGCTCAAAGAAGCAATGCAATATGCTCTTGCAGACCAGATGCTGCATTCACTGAATCCCAGACTCCAACATCTGCTTCCTCAATGCACAACATGCAGCAAATTCTACTGCAGCAACTTTAGAGCCAAGAATAATAGAATAATGCACATTGCCAGAAAGTTAACAGCCTATAGGCATGCCCACACAATTCTGGGGAATTATAAAAGAACAGACCATGTAACAGGTCTATAGCATTTTTAGGCACATTACAGGGGTTTTGGATAGTGAGCAGGAGGTTTCAGAAGACAATTTCCAGAAATCCTGTCTCACCCGTGCACTCAACACTCTGCTGCCCCACTGGATAACAGAGAATGTGTTGGTGTGGGCAGACATTCCATACCAGTAGGTAGAGAAAATGGATGAAGCAGAAGGCAGCAAATATGTCAGTTCAGGCTTTAACCCACAAATTCCTCAAAACTAAGTTCCACCTTTGAAAATTTTCTACCATAATTTAATGACTATGTTGAGAACTGGAGAAGAATCAAGCTCTTCATCCAAGAGGTGGAAATGTATTGGATCTTTATGAAATGCCTTTTTTCAGAGCTCCCTTTCTCTTGGCTGAAGCATGTGGTCAACGCTGTCTCGCAGCTTAGGGGGGTTTTGGGGTGTACTTTGTTTTTTACACTTGGTAAACTCCTGTATGTGCTCACAGAAGAAAGGGGCTTTAGAATCAGCCTCGGGGACCTGATGCCAAGAGCACAGCAGGAAGCAAAGGAAGTTCCAGGCAGGTAGGTACATCATAGGGAGGCACAGAGAAGGAAACTCTGTCCCAAAATTCAAATTCATCCTATGTGGACGTGCTTTTGCATGAGATTGATGCCATTTCAGTTTATGATTGCTGAAGTCTTTTCAAGCTAACAGTATGGAAAATATAAACAATACCAACAGGCTTTGAACAAATTTTGGGTGCCAAATTTCTCCCTCATCAACCCAGCAGTAACAGGTATGAGCCCAGAGGTGAAGCCACAGCCTCACATTAGAGGTGCTCCAAGGATGGCTCCTGCACACAAGGCTCCTGGTAAATGACATAAAACAACATTTCCCAGCCTCTCAACAAGCAGATATTATCAGTGATGATGCTTTTTGCTGCATATGCTAGAACTGAGCATTCTGCTCACCAACACACTGGGCCAGTGCTCCTCTATTTGGTATCTAGCAAAAACTCTGAAAAATTCATGGGTTTCTTAGAAGAAAATGACTCAGCAACAGATAAAGCTTCTCCAGCATAATGCCTAGTGAGAAGGAAGTCAGAAAATTGCTGCAGAGAGACCTAAGAACTTTAAACTATTAAGATACACGTCCAGACCAAATGTTTCCACTCTGTCAAGTTCGGCTGCAACTGACTAATGTACTTTAAGTAATCCAAAGACCAGCAACCATTCAAGGAATTCTGAAATTTTCTAGATACCCATCTTATTTGAACTTGCTTCCTCTTTTTCTTCTTTTTTGCCAGTACCTTGAGACTTTATTTGAAGTACATTTAAAAATAAGAATTATTTGTATCTGCATAACAGCCTCTCCTTAATCATTCTGATAAGATATGCTCCCTCTAATTTCAAGTAGAAGTGTTTCCCATGCTGCACAGTGGTAAAAATATTGTTCAAAGCCTGTTAGTATTTAGATTTTTCCATATTATAAGCTTGAAAAACCTTCAGCAATCGCAAACTGAAATGACATCAATCTCATGCAAAAGCACGTCCACATAGGATGAACTGCAAGGTTAGACCCAGACTGCCACAGCTCAGTTTGTCTGTCTTATTTATTTAATTACTACAGCATTACTAATGAATTACTTATTACTAATACCCAAATAAATTCTTTTTGCCGTGTCTCAAGATGGACATAATATGCAAATTCTCTATATGGGAACAATTTCAAATCCTTCATGTGATAAAAGTACAAGATGAAACTGAATGGACTAAATCCATTTCTGGTGTAAGCTGATCAGCCACTATGGTCAGATTGATTTGCACGAAAAGTTAGTTACTAACAACCATTGAAAAAGAGACACTGTACATACCACACAGGAAGCTTCATATTGTTTCCCCAGTTTAGGTCTTAAAAATGCACTGAAAGGAAGGAGAAGAAGCATTAGAGACCCAGTACATCAACATGTATTTTTCTTAGTTATTTTTAGGATTCTTCTCATGTCAAAAGGTTGTGAAAAGGCTGAGAAACTCAGCATAAAGGAAGACATAAGTTAAAACTATGTTCAGATACCTGTTGATGATGTCTGATAAATGCTGTCACCTTTTCCAGGAGAAAAAGTGCCCACCTCAATATCTCAAGAGGTATTTAATTCAGCCCACAAGTTCCCAGGGATAAAATCTTCCATCAGACAATTTTCAGCCATTTTACCTCAGTGAAAGATTTTGAACATATTCTGTTTAAAATTTGTTAAATATTACTGAACTTTGCCTTGCCTTTATTTTTTAAGCCAGAGATCAACTTGCCAGCTCTGTATTAAATATTTCCTGCACAGCTGCTGACATGGAAGGCTTATGGTGAAGTGCAGGCCTGTATGTAGAGAACACTCACCCTCTATCATTCTCCTCCAGAATGAGATCAGGGTAAATATTAAAAAAAATAATCAGGTCACCTTATTGCAGAGTATTTCAAATTTTATTTTGAAGGACACTGACTGTGGCATAAGGGGATTTTGTGACTGAGGCCTTAAATCAGAGCCACAACCTTCAAATCTTCCAACCTCCCCCACTGCCCCCACGATGTTTTCAATTTGGAATCCTGCTAGGACAGGAGGCTGACAGGATTCACAAGGAACATAAAGCCCCAGCCATACATTCAGCCAGTCCCTCACACATCTCCAACCCCTCCCTCTCCAGTCCTGTGAAATAAGGGGAGACTTTGACATTATCTGTTTGCATGCTGAGCTTTTCAAAGCATCGATAACACTTCCAGGAAGGCTGCAAATACACAAATACAGAGAGAAGCAAAGCTGCAGGTCTGGTGCAGCACTGGTGGATGCTGCTCCTGCTACAAGAACTCTGTGAATTCTCTTAAAAGAGAATGGGGGGGATGAACGGGATGGGGAGCATGGGACAGGGAGGAAGGGGAAGGTGCACGGAGAAGCAGAGACATGGATGGTTTAAAGTCAAATGGAGAAGCTGCCGCTGGGTTAAGCTGCCTTGAGACCCCCTCTCACACCCGATACACACGGATTGCTCTACACTGGGTACAAAAATCAGGTTTTTTTTCACACTGCAGCCGCAGTGATAACTGCATCCATCCTCCCTGCCACCGCGCAGCAGCCGCTCCGCACTCCCGCTGCCCTGTTGCAGCTGTATCCCAAGCGCTCGTACCTGGTCTGCCTCCAGAGGAAGGTCTGGATGGGCAGGGGGATGCCACGGCCACTCTCCTGCTCCTGGCCCTCGGAGCTTTTCCTTTTCACCATGACGATGCCGAGGACAGCGCTGCAGCCTCAGCGGCCGCGCCAGCCGGGATCTCCCATGGCTGCCTCTGCCTTTCCGCAACTCCTCATCCTCACCCTCTCCCCTCCTCCCCCCGCAGCCCACCCAGCCCTCCCTCAGCCCTGCCGGTGCAAAATGGCTGCAGAAGGCAGGCAGGGACGCCGGGGGGGAGAGCGAAGATGTCCGCGTCCTTCAGCTTCCTCCCTCCTTCAGCTTCCTCCCTCCCGGTTCAGCACCTCCCTCTGTGGACAGCTCCCGTGGGTGACACGGGGGGAGGCGGGGACGGGGACACGGAGGCGCCGCCCGCCAAACTTCGCCACCGAACACAGCAAAAACAACGCCAACAACAGCAAAAACACCGCCACCAACAGCAGCAACAACAGCAACAACCCCGCAGCAACAGGGGGAAGCTGCCCTGAGCACCCCTGGCTCCCTCCCTCTACTCTCCTCCCTCCTTCCGCGAAGGGAAGCGGGTCCTAAACCCTCTCTGAAAGTCAACATTGGTGTTGGGGAGCAAGGGAGCGTTGGGGGTTGTTATTCCACAGATTTTTCTTACTTCTGCTTTTGAAGTGCCAAAGCAGATTTCCTGGTGTTTCCAATTAGGCACCAGATTGATTTGACTAATACATCACATGTCTGAGTCAGGCTTGCTGGAAATATTTTTCAGGCACTGTTAGATTAGCTCTCCTTCTCCACCCAAGGATATCTTAGGTAGATATCTATATATCTATATATCCTTAGATATCTGAGATATCTAAGGGTAGTATACTGCAACAAATAATCAATATAATAAATGAAATGGAAGACTCAATGCGAGTTCATCCCAATCAGTTTTCACAGAAAAAAAAAAAAGGGTGACATCCTGTTGCTTAAATGAAAATATTGAAGATTTAGAAATATGCTCCAACAAACCAAGGCCATACTTCTCCCTGTCTTTCAATCATCCTACTAAATGTTAGGCACCCAAAGATTCACCAAGATCATTCCTTCCTGGTAGAGGAGCTGAAGAGATGAACATCACCTATTTACTTCCTTAGGGGTACTTTAAGAAGAGGTTTGCTGAAAATCCAGTGCTGCTACTTAGGTAATTTGAATTTACTCCCACTTGAGATAACAATTTTTTCTGGTGCCCAAGACAAAAACTTCCTTGCAGTGACTTAGGTCAGTCTTGATCTCCAGTCATGGAGAGCAGGACCTTATGTAACCTACACTTTGCTAAAATCCCCCTCATAAATAAAAGAAATATTAAGACAACTTACTAGAAGGTAAGCTCTTAAATAAAAAATATGCTTGCAACCAAAATGTTTTGTGTAATTAAGACCACTAATCTCCCTGAGCTCTGAAATGCTGAACCAGTTGGCTTTGTTCATATTGTCTGGCTGGGCTCTTTGCTAGCAGTAACTTGTACTGCTGTGCACAGAAATATGGCCTTTTTATTAATAGGATCACCTTGTTCAGACAGGAAAGCTTTTCATTACCATGTTCTTTCCTTCCATTAATCTGTTTGGACATGGACAAAATTATCTTGATTTCTAAAATCTTGTAAGAATACAGAGAGAATACAGGCTTGACTGCTAAATGCAAGATATGTATTAAGTTTACCTGTTCCACATCCCCTCACTTGTCTTCTTGTTTGGGCAGTTTGGAAAGCAAATTTGAGCGTTAATTTCTTCTAGAATGCCTGTCAACAGAACACCATGCAGTAGGAATAATGAACTTACTTTAAAATAATGGGGTTTTTTTCAAGTCCTGTAATGTGCTGTGAAATTACTGACTAAAGCTGTTATATAGCAACAAATCTGAAGTGAAATTTTTTTGAGTTTAAGAAATTGTCAAGCAGGAGAATCCCTCTTCTTCCAAGAAAAGCATGAGGACAAAAAAGCTTTAATTATATTTGCAATTAAGGAGAATAAGTGAACTGAGTGTTGAGGCCTGAAGAAGTGCAAGGTCAGTGTCTTCCTGATGGCTGTTGACAATGGCAATAACTAGCAGTCAGAGAGAAGGCTGTGGGCCAGGGATGGTTTATCTGAATGTTAAGTGTTGTATAATCTCATTCTCAAAATTAGTGCCATTTTAGTCAGTGATAATATTTACCTACCTCGAATTTAAGACAATTGCATTCTCTTAGTAACTGGTAAGCACAGTTCAGATGAGTTTGGTTTGATTTTAAATGGGTATCTCCCTTTATTCCTGCTTTCAAGAAGCAGCCACAATAGTTTCCAGTTTCTGTCTCTAAGCCTAAGCTTATTGCTCCTATGCTTTGCTATGCAACAGGAAACCCAAGAGCAAAAGAGAGCACTGCAGCCTGCTCCAGACTATAGCCAAAATTTCCAAATGATTCTCCTGGTTGCAGGGACACTGGATAAACAGAAAGGGATGAAAGTGTGAACACAAAACCCCACAAAAAAAAAAATAAATAAAAAAACCCCAACAACAACAACAAAAAATCCAAACAAAACCGAAACAAAATAAAACCAAAACAAAAAAGACAAAACCGATTTTTTTTTTTTTAAACAATGGCACTCATCAGTCTCAAACCTATGCAGGTAAACATCATTGCTGCCCTGAACAGAGGCTGTCCTAGAGAGCAGAGAGGCTCACTAGCAGCATTTCACTGAGCTCCAGAGGGGAATCCAAACAGCCTCTTACAGCCTGAAGAAGAGAGGAGTGGAGCACACAGGCAACTGCACATTAGCTCCACATCAGTTAGTGTGAAATGAAGGCTATTTTCTCCCAAGTTTTCATATTCTGCAGGAATTCTTTCTTTTTCCAAATGAGACAGAGAAATGAGACTTCTAGTTGCTTACATAGTGAAGTTTATTTTCTTATCTTCTACAGAAAGCGTGAGGTCTTGTTACAGTTATTGAAAGCATGACCAGAAGTCACAGGACTTATGGTTACAAGATCTTTTAAGGACTTATTAACCAATAAAACACTGCCAACAAGGATATTTATATTTCTAATCCAATATTAAGAAATTTTTTTCCAATTACAGTGTGACCTTTCTCAGCCAATCCTGTTCAGACACACAAACCTATTCTGTCACCTTTGCAACTACTTTATTCCTTCTGTATCTTAAACTTTATAACTAAGCTTTTTTCCTACTTAACATGTCTCTGCTTTAAACTTTAAATCTACATTCTTTTAGCACCTAAGCTTGGAAGCTTTTCCCAAGGCCTCAGTTCAAATCCTGTGCTCTTTTCCAGGCTTTGATTTACAGGCCCAAAGTTTTGGGAATTTCTTGCACTCTGAACTCCGACAGTTAACTATCACTCAGAAAGCAGGAGGACATATTAGTACCTCTACCTGGCTTTTTGTTACATCCTTGAAGACTCTTTAGAGAAAACAAATAGCTTTGAAGTCCAGGATTATTTTCCTTACTCTTTCTTTGTGCATAGCCAGAGCCTTGCCCTGTCACAAGCCATTGGCAAGTGGAGGTCGCATAGCCCAGCACTGAGAGGAAATACTAAATCACTACTTGGAATTTTGTTTATGATCACTTTGTAGTAACTGAAAATAGAAATGCAAATTGCAGTTCTAGTCAAGCTTACCATTTGAGTGCAGCGTACACCCAGTCACAAAAGACACATAAATATCTTTGTACAGAGGCTTGAAGTTACAGAACTTCTGATGCAAAACAAATCAGAGAGCAAAGGAAACTTTATCAACAGCTGGCTCTGTCACAAGAACTGCAGGCATGAAGATGCAGATCTCAAATCCAGCCAGGCCATGACCAGCACTAAACCCAGGAGGTGGCAAAGGTGCTTCACAGGAAGTTTGACAGTGGCTAGAGACAAGTTTTGTTCTTGCCTTATTTTGGAGACAATACCCACCACACAAAGGGTACACAAAGCTGAAATAATTTTATCTCTCTAAGTAAAATGAATTGCATGTGCAAGAGAAGAAGAAATTTTACCACCTGGAAGATTTTATTTGTCTCCATACTGAATTTCTGCTGGCAGAAGAGGCTTTCAGATTTGCAGCCAGCATTTGACCACACCCAAATACTAACACTACAGTGGATGCTACAAAGGGAAAGTCCTGCAAATCAGTCCCCTGCCTTCCCTGACAGTGGGGATAGAGAGGAAAGAGGTGGACTCTTCAGAGAGGCCATTACAGTAGGACACCAGTAAAGTGTCCTGAAAACTCACCTGTGCTCTGTCCTCTAGGCTACACTGGCATCTTGGGCTGGCCCAGAAACACAGGTCAGTCTGCCTGCAAAAAGATCAAGACTACTGCAAAAAGTCACTGCTTTCAGAAAGCAGGTGAGGGAAGAGTGGAGAAAGCTCTGCACCACTCCAACAATTCCTAGCCCATGCAGCTGCTCAGCCACAGAAGATGCCCATGACACCATCTACCCATTTCCTCTCTGACTGCAGACAGGAGGAGTCTGACATGCCTCCAGATGACATGATTCTGTTTGATCACTGCTCTTCTCATCAGACAGCTATGTTTACAGTCCATCACAGCAGCACTTAGTCTTGATCCAGAAACAGTCAAGGCTGGCAGCACAGCACAGAGTGGGGACACGGAACAGAACCTGAGCATGAAGCCCCCACTTTACACAGGAGTGCTCAGAGCAGGGAACTGCTCAAACCTCACTGCCTTGCACTTGTTTCCATGGTTATGCTCTCAAATTCCCATCCTCAATCAATCCGTGCCATACACACTACTAAAAATTCACATCTTATTTATCTGAACTCTGTGCAGAATCCGGGCTCTCAAGGGCATGTCAAACCACTCTGTTGTGCAGCAGCCTTTCCAAGAGCAAAGCTGCAAACAACTCCTAATCGTAGATTCCAGAGCAGGGAAAAAAACATTTGCCACACCCTTGAGATCTCTTACTTTTCCACTGGCTGCTAGGAGCCTTCTCTCCTGGCTGAACAGACCCATCATGAAGGAAAACCTTTCCTCACTTGGGACAACCAGTCATAGAAGATTAGCACTGATGGATGTCACTCATGCCACCCTTTCCCATAAGGGT